AATCCACTTTCCAGGTCCTCTCTTCATGCGCCCCCAATCTACTCCCCAGCTCCTCTCTACAGCGCCCCCAATCCACTTTCCAGCTCCCCTTTCCACGCGCCCCCAATCCACTCTTAGACCTTCTTTTATTTATCCTTAAACTGTTCTTTAATGTACAATTAGACCATTCTTTAATTCACTGTTAGACCGCTCTTTAAACCAATATTCTTGCCCTGTGGGTTCCAGGGCCCTATTATAGGGAAAACAAGCATAGACCCATGGCCTACCCAAAACATGTCGTAAGAGTCGACTAATTGGGGGCTTACTTCGAAGTCGGAGTGCATCTGCCTGAGAGGCAAGAAACCAATAGTCTGCATGCACATTAGTCAGATCTGTCGAAAGGATGCACACGCAACACCCAGGTTCTGGAACAGTTCTGAAGTCCAGAAGTGGACGAACAGCCAGAACTTTCCGCCGGAGTTTACAGCTGGTAAACGCGAAGAAGAAGAAACCACCATTCGGCCATTCTTTAATCCACTCAAAGATCGTAGTCTAGCCAGGCATAGTTGGGATATCCAGGCATAGTTGGCATATCCAGGCATAGTTGGCATATCTAGGCATCGTTGGCATATCCAGGCATAGTTGGCATATCTAGGCATCGTTGGCATATCCAGGCATAGTTGGGATATCCAGGCATAGTTGGCATATATATGCATCGTTGGCATATCCAGGCATAGTTAGGATATCCAGTCATATTTGGCATATCTAGGCATCGTTGGCATATCCAGGCATAGTTGGGATATCCAGGCATAGTTGGCATATATATGCATCGTTGGCATATATATGCATCGTTGGCATATTCAGGCATAGTTGGGATATCCAGGCATAGTTGGCATATCTAGGCATCGTTGGCATATCCAGGCATAGTTGGGATATCCAGGCATAGTTGGCATATATATGCATCGTTGGCATATCCAGGCATAGTTGGCATATCCAGGCATAGTTGGCATATCCTGGTATAGTTGGCATATCTAGGTATAGTTGGCATATCCAGGCATAGTTGGCATATCCAGGTATAGTTGGCATATCCAGGCATTGTTGGCATATCCAGGCATAGTTGGCATATCCTGGTATAGTTGGCATATCCAGGCATTGTTGGCATATCCAGGCATAGTTGGCATATCTAGGTATAGTTTGGCATATCTAGGTATAGTTGGCATATCCAGGCATTGTTGGCATATCTAGGTATAGTTTGGCATATCTAGGTATAGTTGGCATATCCAGGCATTGTTGGCATATCCAGGCATAGTTGGCATATCCAGGCATAGTTGGCATATCCTGGCATAGTTGGCATATCCAGGCATAGTTGGATCGCAAGAACACTTGCTCAGTTTTGGGAGTCAGTGGGCTACTCGTTGGGTAGACATCAACAACGCCTACGTCTTCTTGCTCAAGCGAAATTTGTCTCTGGCGAGAGGGCGAGGGGGAGAGAGAGATCCAACAGCACTAAGACGGGCCAGAACTTGTCGAGTTTTTGAACATGTCTCAGAATATAGCAACATGTCTGCCTTTAATAGATTGATCTTTCAGGATAGCCTCCCGCCCCCTCTCTTGCTGGCTGCCAACATTTAACGCGGTTTTATCTCGTTTTTTTAAATCTTTTTTTTTTTTTTCATTTTTCGTCGTTCTCTGTCTCCCGAATTTCTCAAAATCACGAGATAGCCACAAATAGATCAGCTGATGTTTCCCTCGGGAAAATAAATCAACAAGTTGTACCTGAGGTCGGTGCACACACACACGATTGTGTCATTCTTCTAGAAGAGAGAGAAAGGGGGTGAAGAGAAAATCAGAGGGAAAAGAGAGCGGGGGTGAAGAGAGGAAAATACAGAGATGGGGATGAAGACTGAAAAAGATATAGAGGGGGATGAAGAGAGAGAGAGAATGGGGGGGGGGGTAAAGAGAGGGGGAAGAGGGGGTGATGAGAGGAAGAGACAGAGAGGGTGGGTATAGAGAGAGAGAGGGGGGTATAGAGAGAAAGAGAGAGAGATGGGGGTATAGAGAGGAAGAGAGAGAGGGGGTATAGAGAGGAAGAGAGAGAGGGGGTATAGAGAGGAAGAGAGAGAGGGGGGGAGGGTATAGAGAGGAAGAGAGAGAGGGGGGTATAGACAGGAAGAGAGCGAGGGGGGGGGTATAGAGAGGAAGAGACAGAGGGGGGTATAGAGAGGAAGAGAGAGAAAGGGGGGTCATAGAGAGGAAGAGAGAGGGGGGTATAGAGAGGAAGAGAGAGGGGTATAGAGAGGAAGAGAGAGGGGTTTAGAGAGGAAGAGAGAGAGGGGTATAGAGAGAAAGAGAGAGAGGGAAGGTATAGAGAGGGAGAGAGAGGGGGTATAGAGAGGAAGAGAAGAGGGGTGGGGGTATAGAGAGGAGAGAGAGGGGGGGGTATATAGAGAGGAAGAGAGAGGGGGGTATAGAGAGGGAGGGGGTATAGAGAGGAAGAGAGAGGAGTTATAGAGAGGGAGAGAGAGAGGGGGTATAGAGAGGAAGAGAGAGAGGGGGTATAGAGAGAGAGAGGGGGTATAGAGAGAGAGGGGGTATAGAGAGGAAGAGAGAGGGGGGTTTAGAGAGGAAGAGAGAGAGGGGGTATAGAGAGAGAGGGGGTATAGAGAGGAAAAGAGAGGGGGTATAGAGAGGAAGAGAGATAGAGGGGGGTATGGATAGCAAGAGAGAGGGGGTATAGAGAGGAAGAGAGAGGGGGTATAGAGAGGAAGAGAGAGGGGGGTATAGAGAGGAAGAGAAAGAGGGGTGGTATAGAGAGGAAGAGAGAGAGAGTTGGCATAGAGAGGAAGAGAGAGAGGGGTATAGAGAGGAAGAGAGAGAGAGGTGGTATAGAGAGGAAGAGAGAGAGAATGTATAGAGAGGAAGAGAGAGAGTGAGGGGGGTATAGAGAGGAAGAGAGCGAGAGGGGGTACATAGAGGAAGAGAGAGAGAGAGGGGTGTATAGAGAGGAAGAGAGAGAGAAGAGGTATAGAGAGTAAGAGAGGGGGGGGGGATATAGAGAGGAAGAGAGAGGGCGGGGGGTGATAAGAAGAAGAGACAGAGGGTGGAAGAGAGAAAAAAAGGAGAGAGAGAGAGAAGGATAAAGATATAGAGAGAGGAGGTGATGGCACGTAGACATTGGTTGTTTTTTTTTTTTTTTTCGACATCTCAAGGACGTGGAATAAAGGAGTGACAATGTGTAAGGCGATGTGTGTGTGTGCACGCGCGCTGGTATTATTGTGTCGTCTATAAATAGATGTATCGTGAACATCTGATTGCGAAGTGACACCGAAATGTTGACTTTTTAAAAAAACATATCAACAAGCACATCCTAGTATAGTAACTTGTCTTAACAATGTCTTGTTTCCTTGTATGTGTGTGTTGTGTGTGTTTTTATTGTGGGAGGGTGATCATAGGTTACACTCTTTGTTTGTCTGCCTCCTTCTGTCAGTGCGTCTCTCTCTCTCTCTCTCTCTCTCTCTCTGTCTTTCTCTGACTTTCTTTGTATCTCCCTCTGTTTTTCTCCTTCTGTGTCTCCCTCTCTCTCTGTCTCCCTCTCTCTCTCTCTGTCTCCCACTATCTCTCTCTCTCTCTCTCTCTGTGTCTCTCCATCTCTCTCTTTGTCTCCCTCTCTCTCTGTCTTTGTATCCCCTTCTGTGTGTATCCCTCTCACTGTCTGTGTCTCCCTCCCTATGTGTTTCCCCCTCTCTCTGTGTGTCTCCCTCTCTCTCTCTCTCTGTATCTTTCTGTCAGTCATCTGTTTCTCCAGTCCTCCCGCCCTTTCTAGTAAGTGCATTCTAAAACCGCCTCATGACCAGACGAGATTGTTGTGTTTGATCATCTTTGCCAGATGCTATCGCTGGCAGCATTAGGCTCCAGACCTGAATGTCACACCCACGCAAAGGTCAAAACTAACATGTGTCATCTCTCTTCTACAGACGAGAGACTGTGTTGTATGTTCTACAGACTCCAGACTGTTATTTGTCATTGTTCTATGTGCTGCAGACATCAGACTGTCATCTGCCATTGTTGTATGTCTTACGGACCAGACGGTCATTTGTCATTTTTCTATGTTCTACAGACACCAGCCCGTCATTGTTCTACAGACATCAGACTGTCATCTGCCATTGTTGTATGTCTTACGCACCAGACGGTCTTTGTCATTTTTCTATGTTCTACAGACACCAGCCCGTCATTTTTCTACAGACATCAGACTGTCATCTGCCATTGTTCTATGTTCTACAGACCATACTCTGTCATCTGCCATTGTTCTATGTTCTACAGACACCATTCTGTCACTGTTATTTGTTTTACAGACATCAAACTATCATCTGCCATGCTATGTTCTACAGACACCAGCCTGTCATTGTTCTACAGACATCAAACTGTCATCTGCCATTGTTCTATGTTCTACCGCAGACACCAGATTGCCATCTGCCAGTGTTTTATATTCTACTACAGACACAACACTGTTCTCTGCCATTGTTCTGTGTTCTACATTCACCAGCCTGTCATCTGCCATTGTTCTATGTTCTACTACATTCACCAGCCTGTCATGTGCCATTGTTCTATGTTCTACTACATTCACCAGCCTGTCATGTGCCATTGTTCTATGTTCTACTACATTCACCAGTCTGTCATGTGCCATTGTTCTATGTTCTACTACATTCACCAGCCTATCATGTGCCATTGTTCTGTGTCTACTACATTCACCAGCCTGTCATCTGCCATTGTTTTGTGTTCTACTACATTCACCAGCCTGTCATCTGCCAATGTTCTATGTTCCACAGACATCAAACTGTCATCTGTCATTGTTCTATGTTCCACAGACATCAAACTGTCATCTGCCATTGTTCCATGGTCCACAGACATCAAACTGTCATCTGCCATTATTCTATGTTCCACAGACATCAAACTGTCATCTGCTATTGTTCTATGGTCCACAGACATCAAACTGTCATCTGCCATTGTTCTATGTTCCACAGACAATCATGCTGATTCCATGGAGGTGGACGGAGCTGTGGACATCCCCAGTAACAAGGCCACAGTTTTACGAGGCCATGAGTCTGAGGTGTTCATTTGTGCTTGGAATCCAACTAACGACCTCCTGGCTTCAGGGTCAGTTGTGTGTCTGTATCTGTATCTATCTGTGTCTTTTTCCTCCTGAATTTGGTGTCTTCTTCTTCTTCTTCTTCTTCTTCTTCTTCTTCTTCTTCTTCTTCTTCTTCTTCTTCTTCTTCTTCTTCTTCTTCTTCTTCTTCTTCTCTCCTCCTCCTCCTCCTCCTCCTCCTCCTCCTCCTCCTCCTCTTCTTTGTCCATGATATTCTGAGAATCTTTATATACCATTTCACCTTAAAAGCCTCTATATTATAATAAATGTATTAATACTTTCATTAATACTTCTTCTTCTTCTTCTTCTTCCTCTTCTCTTCTCCTCCTCCTCCTCCCCCCCCCCTCCTCCTCCTCTTCTTTGTCCATGATATTCTGAGAATCTTTATATACCATTTCACCTTAAAAGCCTCTATATTATAATAAATGTATTAATACTTTCATTTGCCAGATCTGGAGACTCGACAGCCAGAATATGGAATATGAATGACAACAACATTGCCACTAGTGCCAGCCAACTAGTTCTGCGACACTGTATACAGAAAGGGGGCACCGAGGTTCCCAGCAACAAGGACGTCACATCTTTGGATTGGGTGGTGAGTGTCATTGACGTGATCACAGTAGCAGTTTCTTCCAATTCACATTGTAGCAAATTCTTCCTGTTCACATTGTAGCAAATTCTTCCTGCTCACATTGTAGCAGGTTCTTCCTGTTCACATTGCAGCAGGTTCTTCCTGTTCAGATTGTAGCAGGCTCTTCCTGTTCACATTGTAGCAGGTTCTTCCTGTTCACATTGTAGCAGGTTTATGCTGTTCACATTGTAGCAGGTTTATGCTGTTCACATTGTAGCAGGTTTATGCTGTTCACATTGTAGCAGGTTTATGCTGTTCACATTGTAGCAGGTTTATGCTGTTCACATTGTAGCAGGTTCTTCCTGTTCACATTGTAGCAGGTTCTTCCTGTTCACATTGTAGCAAGTTCATTCTTCCTGTTCACATTGTAGCAGGTTCTTCCTGTTCACATTGTAGCAGACTGCAAAGACTCTCACTTTCTTGCCACTTTACATGCCTTTTGCAAATCTTGAACAGTAATGAAAGCCCTAGTTCCTAGAGAAGAAACAGCGATTGACCAATATGAAGAAAAGTTCCTAGCAAACAAATAGAATTAGCTAGTATGAAGAAAAGTCCCTAGCAAACAAACAGAATTAGCCAGTATGAAGAAAAGTCCGTAGCAAACAAACAGAATTAGCCAGTATGAAGAAAAGTTCCTAGCAAGCAAACAAAATTAGCCAGTATGAAGTAAATTCCTAGCAAACAAACAGAATTAGCCAGTATGAAGTAAAGTTCCTAGCAAACAAACAGAATTAGCCAGTATGAAGTAAAAGTTCCTAGCAAACAAACAGAATTAGCCAGTATGAAGTAAAGTTCGTAGCAAACAAACAGAATTAGCCAGTATGAAGAAAAGTTCCTAGCAAACAAACAGAATTAGCCAGTATGAAGAAAAGTTCCTAGCAAACAAACAGAATAAGCCAGTATGAAGAAAATTTCCTAGAAAACAAACAGAATAAGCCAGTATGAAGAAAAGTTCCTAAAGAAGAAACAGTGATGTACCATTATAAAAAAAAATTCATTAAGGCTTACTGTGGTGAAAATATCCTTCTACAAAGGACTCCTACAAGCATAGCTGTATCCTACAAGCAGGCACCTTTCCATTTTTCCAGATGATAGTTTTGTTGTGTTCTAGGGGGGTAGGAAACTCAGCAGCTCAAGGCGATACTAATTAATGCCAAGGATGACGTTCCTTCTTTCTGTAGCACAAAGCCTGGGCAGTATTCATTTGTGTTGCCCATACAACATGATCCCTCTCTTTGACCTGCTTTGTTAGCTCTAAAGGAGAGGTAACATATGTCTTTTCTCTCTGTGGTTTCTATTAGTGGTTTCTCTTAATGATATCCCCCTCCACGACATGGAGTGGTACACCTATTTGGGCAGTTATGTAGATAAAAAAAGCGGAACTCATAAGAGATATTAAAATATGCATATAAATGGCAAGAGGAGCTTTCGAAGCACTAGGAGATTTGTGGGGTAAAAAAAAATTTAAAAGAAATACTTAACTTTAAACTGATTGTTATTCAAAGGGCGCAGAGCAAGATATGTGGAACCATGAAGGACCTGCTACTGACATGCGAGTTCATAGAGGTAACCCACCTGATGGTCTGATCTGAGCATACGAAAGCAAAGAAGAAGAAGAAATTGTTAATTCTAACGTCAAATCAGTACTGTTGTATAGAGCGGAAACATGGAGAACAACTAAGGCAGTTACTAATAAACTACAGACATTCATTAACTGTTGCCTGTGCAGAATGGAGGGAATTAAATAGTATGATAGAATCACTAATGTAGAGCTTTGGGAGAGAACTAAGCAAGTTCAAGTGGACCAAGAGGTGAAGACAAGATGCTGGTGTTGGATAGGACACGGGTTGAGAAAACCTGAGAACAATATAACTAGAATGTCTTTGCACTAGAACCCTCCGGGGCATAGAAATAAAGGAAGACTAAAAAACACATGGAGAAGGGAGCTAGAGGGTAAAATTTAAAAAAAATATGGGGAGAACTACATGTGAAAGCGAATGATAGAAGGACTTGGCGTGAGCTGGTTGAGGGCCTATGCTCCATTGGGGGTTAGAAAAGCAGAAGAAGAACATATGTCTTACATGCTAATTTCATATATGTTTTATATATTTATATTTTGAATTGTAGACGTAACATCTTACAAGTGTCTTGTCAGTGTAGTTAGGTCCTGCCTGTGCGTATTTTCATAGCTGTGTCCCTCCTTTTCCTACATTGTAAATTTTTATGTTATGCTTGCAATGCCATGTCATATATGCACCTGTATGTACAGATGTTTTACCTGTGCCCACCTAACTAGTGGGAGTTTCCATGGTATAGCTTCTAGACACTCGCCTACAGATCAGAAGTGCTTGGGTTTCGGGTCCTGACGGAGCCTGATTTATTTCAAAAATGATTTTGGCTCCCAGGTGGACCCAGCCTTGAGTGGGTACCGGGTGCAGTCCTGGCGAGTAAAGGTGGCTGGTGTGATGCTGGCGACATCACCCACCCAATGGCGATTGGTCTATAAAATATAGGTCTGGCCCTATATGCCTAATACCCCTGAAGGTGAGGAAAAAAGGTACTTTACTTACATATTCGGTTGGCTGGTTGTTTTCTGTATACATTGTTATGTCCAACACGTTCTGCTTATATGTGCCTAAGTACTGTCTATTGAACACAATCATCATCATAGACTGGCATGGGCGATCATGCCTCTCCATAATCCGCGATCTCCTGCAGCATGTATCAGTTCGTGTGCCGACACACCTCCATGCCATGCAACAAGACCGTCAAGCATCTTCTCTCGTTGTCTTCCTCTATCCCTCCTTCCACAGATCTTTCCAGTGGTCACAACATGTTCTATTTTCCCTCTTCTCATAACATTGAACACATTATGTCAAGTATTTTACATATCTTTCAGTGTGATGGAACACTGTTAGCGACAGGCTCGTATGACGGGTTCGCCAGGATATGGAGCATCGATGGTGAGTATTTTCACTTTCCCTGTGGGTTCCTGGACCCCATTCTGGGGGAAGAAATAATAGACCCACTGCCTAGGGTCCCTAAGAAACTTGTACATGGCAACTGATGAGGAGAAGTTTCTTCAGAGTCGGACCGCAACTGTCTGAGAAGTATAGAACCAGCAGTCTGCATACAAATAAGCCAAGCCCGTTGAAACAAAAACAAACAAATAACGCAATTGCAAAACTCTAGTTCTGCAACAAGACCAAAGTCCAGAAGTGGATGAACAACCAGAACTTTCTCATGTAGCTCACTTTTCTCTGCCTCCTTTGCCACACCAGGCACAAACTCCAAGGCTGCCTTGATGATCCCTGTGAATCTAAAAATAATAATAATAATAAATAAAAATTTGAAAAAAGCGTACTCATGAACCAAAGGCGAAGCAACAATAGGTAAGCAGCGGGAACTGTCTACTTTGCTGTGTATTTTCTAAACATAATAATACAGTAAGACCTCATTTACATGAATTCCAAGGGACCCCAGAAAACTCAAAGAGTTCATGTTAAAAGAATCTGTGCTAACTGGGGACTACTACACAGTAATAATCTCTCTTGTGTTTATTTGTTACACACACATTAGGTAATTTGTTCTACGTTCTTCGTTTCCATGCGCAAGGCAGTTGGTTATATATAAAATAAGTTCTTTGATACACCCAACTTTAGGAATTTTGTTACATACATTGTACATTTTTTTTACACCCACATTAGGAATTGGTTTTATATGCGTTGCACAATTTGCTTGTTACACTCACAATAGGAATTGTTTTTTAAATACATTGCGCACCGTTTGTTACACCCGTTTTTAGGTATTGTTTTTATATACTTATATTTCTGAGGTATCTAAATGTTTGGAAGTGATCATTGACAAATCACGACCAGCTCCAGCTGAGGGGCCATGCTGCTGATGTCACCGGGTCGGGCTAATGATATGTTAATACAGCAGTTCTCAAACTAGGGGCTGAGGCACCCTGGGGTGCCATGAGTGGATGCCATGGATGCCACGGCAATAAATAAGAAAAGTCGGCTAAAAATTGTGAAATTAATTTTTTTAAAAGGCATGTAGATACTGAAAAGTTTAAATTTAGGTTGTCTTTCCTTGTCACTGTCGAAATAGTTTATTCCTTGTTTGAGAACAACTGTGTTAACACATCGGTAGCCCGACCCGGTGACGTCAGCAGCACGACCAGAGGAGGAGGTCGTGTCATCATCATCAGGTACCTGGCCTCTCCATAATCTGCGATCTCCTGCAGCGTGTATCAGTTCGTGTACCGACACACTTCCATGCCATGCAACAAGACTGTCAAGCATCTTCTCTCGTTGTCTTCCTCTATCCCTCCTTCCACATATCTTTCCAGTGGTCACAACATGTTCTATTTTCCTTCTTCTCATAACATGGCCGAAAAATGATGACTATCTCCTTCTGATGTCTGAGATAAATTGTCCCCGGGCTCCCGCCTCTTTCAAAACCTCTTGGTTGCTCTTTTTGGCTGTCCAAAGTATTCTAAGCATTCTTCTGTAAAACCACATCTCCGAGGCCTCCAGAAATGGCGGTCATATACAAACCAATAAAAATATAGAAGTGTACTATTACCAAGTTTTTTGATCATGATTACCCACACTGGGTGTGTGTTATTGTAGTCTCGACTGCTCAAATGTAACCTTATTTATTCCAAACTCTTGTCTGCAGGTCGGTTGGTCAACACACTGGGGCAGCACAAGGGCCCTATTTTTGCCCTCAAGTGGAACAAGCGGGGGAACTATATTTTGAGTGCCGGCGTGGACAAGGTGAGTGAAACCTAATGTTATTAAAATGTTTCCTCCCCATTGTGGGTTCTGGGACCGCATTGTGGGGAAAACAAGAATAGACCAGCTGCCTTCCCAACAAGCATGTCGTGGGAGTCGACTAATTGGAGGCATCCTTCGAATTACATCTGACTGAGAAGCAAGGAGCAAAGATTCTGTATACAAATAAGCCAGATGTGTGAAACAGATGTGCACGCAACACTCAGGTTCTGGAACAAGACTGAGAAAAGGCAAACACCCAGAACTTTCGCTGGTGAACGGGATGAAGAAGTGTTTCCACAAAAATGTTCTGGGGCCCAATTCAAAAAGTGGTATTCAACACCCCCCCCCCACCCCCACTTCCCCACCCCCACCCATTGCCTTCCTCAGCAACAACAACAAAACTGTATGGGGGTTTGCTAAAATTTGAAATTGGCCACAGGAAACAGATATCGCAGCCTCGCTCTAAACAACAACACTAGGCACCTACTGCTCATTTCAAGATGAAGAACAAACGAATAAGAATGTTACGAAAAAAGAGAAGAATAAGCAAGGCACAGATTGATCATTACGGTCTGAAGAGAATGCAAGGAGTTACCAGGGGATCTGGCTGGCGCTGAACACTCAGGGGAAGGATGAGACGGATATACGATCGGACAGTTACTGGTGCCATTGGAATTGGAACTCTTTGCTTGCTGCTGAAGATGGGGCGGAGCACTTATGGGAGTGTCCCGAGTGTTGTGATGTTGATTCTCAGTTCAACATTCAATAGAATAAGAATGTTGCAGAAATTGTGGATGGTGCTATGCAAAGTACAACTTTGGCTGTGACTAAATGTAGAATGTGATTGAAATAATGGTTCTCTCCATATAACATGTCGGGCTGTTTCCTGCTTTATATGGTGAAAGCATTTTCATATTTTGATGGTGATATATGGGAACTCTAGGAATTGCATGCAGGATTAGGCAGACGTGGTTAGTGCCTTGTGGGAGAGCGTGTACGGTTCGGAGGAGAAGATGGATCACCGCAGTCTGGTGAGATTGATGCAGCAAGGAGTGACGAGAGGTTCTGGCAGATGCTCGAGGCTCAGAGGAAAGGCAATGACGGAAGTTTAATCAGAATGCTACTTGCACCATAAGTATCGGAACTCTTCACTAGCTGCTGAGGATGGGGATGGAGCACTTATGGGAATGCCCCGAGTGCTGTGATGTCGGATCTTGAATCAACTCAACTCTCTAGGAATTCTATTATTCTAAATAAAGTAAATCTAGCGGTCAGCTGGGTATGTTGACATTTAGTAGTAAAATAAAAGGACCCTTTTCAAGGCATTCATCTGAATTGGGCATATAGTGCTAGACCTATATTTTATAAACCAGTCAGCACTCGGTAGGTGATGTGGTCAGCATCACACCCGCTGACTTCACTTTCCATCACTTTACCTGGTACCCACATAAGGCTAGTCATCCTGGAAGCCAAGGTTATTCAAAACAAATTCAGGTTCTGTTGAGATTTGAACCCATAACCTTAGGATCTGTAGGCAAGCATCAAGCCAGGGTGGCTCTCGACATTTAGAAGAGCAGATTAAGTAAAACTGTTAGCAACGATAGCCAGATATTGCCAAGACTGCAGTTAAAACTGCTTGTTAAAGTCAGTTGCGTATCCTTTTACAGGACGTTGCAGAACCAACCCCAGCGTTTTTTTACTTTTGGTTTTTCTTTGTGAATTTTACGTTCAGTAGTTTGCCATTGCCATCTGAACAGTCAGCTCTTGGTACCACTGTCGAAACCAGCGCAAGACAAACCGTCTGCAGCTGGGATCAACCCCGGCACTAAGAAGCTCATTCACAGTGCCTTAGCCACAGACGCCGACAAAAAGTACATAAATTGAAACTAAAAGCAATTTTTAAAACAAAATGTTTGTTAATGCATAGCTTATTAATCGTAGAAGCTGTAAATAGATTTGTTATTGTTAATTATGAACAAAGGGTATCTTTTAATTTAGGCCGTTTATGTTTTGTTTTGTTTTCAGACGACGATAATCTGGGACGCCAACACTGGAAGTTGTACACAGCAGTTTGCATTTCATTCAGGTTTGTATCACTGAGCCAGCAGTAGAAAACCTCTCTGACAGCTCTTGCTTGATAATGTATTGACTTTAATTCAGTAACAATTACCATGTCAGTAGCAGTTATTTTCCTGTTAGAAAAATTATATTATGCAATTGGCCATAA